TTACCTCCCATGGCTTCTCATCAGCAGGGGTTCAAAAGCACCATGGCCCCTGCTGTACCTCAGAAGCGGCCAGCAACAGGCCTGGCTCCTAGGCAGAGGTATGCAAGCAGCTGCACACGGCTCTCCCCTAGGAGCTCCCATTGGCTAGTTTCTGGTCAATGGGAGTGTGGAGCTGGTGCTCAGGGTAGGGAGCAGTGTGGGGAGCCCGGTGGCCTTGCTGCCTAGGAGCTGGATGCAGCATGGTGTGAGAACAGGTAGGGACTGGCCAAGGGTGTTCAAAGTGTGGGTTGTGACAAAGTGACCCAGTACCAGTGCTCCCTGTAAGCTGGATGCTTGAATGGCCACCCAGGAGAGATTCAAATGCCGCCCAGCTGATTAGCAGAGCACTCCCAGCCTGAGTTTCTATTGCTGGTGCACATCTGCACTTGACTTGGTGCACAGAAAAAAATGTATTCTGCACATGGATAGGAAAAATTAGAGGGACCATTGCCCAGGACTGGGTCACAACCTACACTGTGAAAACCACTGAGCTAAGATGCCCTCTCCCTATGTGCCCTGCAACCTGCATGAGCAGGGCAAGGGGGTTGCTCCTGTGATTGGATGTGGCAGCGCCCCAGCAGGGTAACACAAACTGTGCTTTGATTGTTGGCTTATCGGTTGTAGAGGTGTCAGACTCTGAGGTTGGGAGGACAAGAAGTAGGACAGAACAGAACCCAAACTGCCAGGCACTGGTGGATTTTAGCTCAATGCCCACAAACATCTGTGTCCTGGAACAAGCACTTGGGGAGAGCTCAGAGCAGCCTGTGCAAATGTGTTAATTATCTTGAGTTAATTGACAATCAATTTGCTTGAGCTAAAACCTCTCATCTACAGGGACTTGCCACTAGGGGAAATACTAAAGGGTGAGTTTAAATGACTATAGTTACTTTAGTTATTACCATCACATGGAGACTTATCTTGGTACAAGAGAGGTCTTTTGGGATTTAAAGCACTGTTTTCCTGTATAGACCCACCCTCCCCCTTTCCCGGAGGTTTGTAGAGAACTGGGTACAGGGTGTGTAACTAAACCTATGGGATGACAGAAAAGGCTCCTAGAATCATGGACCCTAAGCCGGGAAGGGACTGGTCTGATCGCCTGTATAACTCAGGCTGCAAAACTTCCCTGAATTCCTGGTTGATCTAGAGCAGTGTTTCCCATATGGTGTTCCATGGAACCCCTGGGTTCCGCAAAGTGAAAATAAGGGTTCCACGAGAAAAATCCATTACAATAACATTTTATGATTTTTTTAAAAATTAATATTTAAGCATTTGCGAATTTTTATTGAAAATAATTTCCATTTGTGTTTGCCACACGACTCAGCGCTGCACGCGCAGTCAGTCAGCGGTGCGATCGCAATTAAACTTAAATGTTGATTTCATGACCTTGTTTAGCATTTGGTTATTATTATTATCCTTACTTATTTGTGGTCTACTTTTTCAGCTCCATATATAAGTCTGTTATTAGGGGGTCCACAAAATTCTTTCGTGTTTAAAAGGGTTCTGTGTCCAGATAAAATTGGGAAACACTGAACTAGAGTAAATCTCTTCCTAAAATATCCAGTCTTGATTTTAAAACTGCCAGTGATGGAGAATCCACCCCATCCCTTAGCACGTTGTTCTAATGTCCAGTTCCCCTCACTACTAAAAATGGGCCATTTATTTCCTGCCTGAATGTATCTAGCTCCCACTTCCAACCATTGCATCAGGTTAGACCTTGATCTGCTAGACCGAAGAGCCCGTTATGAAATGTTTATTCCTGGAGTCGAGCACCTCAAGACCCACTTTCTGCTCCCTCGCTCATTCTCCTGGCTGGCCTCTGAGCCCTCTCCAGTGGATCAACACCCTTCTGGAATTGTGGGCCGCAGAGGGGACAGGCTGGAAAGAGAAGTCACCCAAAAAGAAAGAGATAATGGAGGGAGGGGGACTTGTGAAAGAGACTGGAAGCACAATGAGAGAGAGAGGAAAAAGTGAAAGTGAACGGGATCAAAAGGAGTGAAAAATGAGCGAGAGCTGAGAATGCAAATGAGAGGGTGAAAGCGAAACTGTTTGAAAAAGGAGAAGCGGGGGGGCTCTCTGGAGCTGGAGATTTGTGGCAGTGTGCACATCATGTAGCTGGCCAGTTAACAGCTGCCATCCATTCCTCTGACCCTCGCATTCGCTCCTGCCATCCAGAGGGATTAGGCTTGTATTATCATGATCAATCGAAGCATTAAGCCTCAGCCTGGATATAAGATACATGGATCCGAACAAATGCTGAAATCCTTCAGAGCGAGAGCTTGGCCCGTCCTCTCAGAGGGAAGAGTGGGCTCCATTGGGATCCACAGACGAGGTAGATAGGGTCCAGCCAGGAGATGAAATTCCCACTGTGCTAGGGCCCCACCCCGGCAAGGGGAGGAGGAGGGGTATGGAGAATTAAAAGAGGATCAGCTTCCAAAACTAGGGCCAGTGAATTAGTGACACACTCAATCCACATAGCAGCAGGTGCCCACCGTTTATGGGCTGATCGCTGTATCCCTAAGGGTAACTAACGATCAGTAGGAGCCCTTACCCAGTGTCACTCTGCTGTGGGTTTCAATAGCCTGGCTTCTTGGCTGGGAACTGGTGGTGCACTCGTCCGGATCCTGACCTCACCTCTCAACATGGGTCAACTATCCCTGCCCCCGTACTTACCCCCATGACTAGCCTGACACCCCGCATGTGTACTCGTCTGACACCTCCATAATGGGTAAGCCAACAATCCAGGCACAGTTCATGTTCAAGGGGAAATAGAAACAAAGCATGTAAAGGGAAGGGGAAGGCGGACTTGAAGTGGGTACATCAGTAACACC